CATAAGTGTATAGGACCAAAATATATGTATTTGTATTTGTATATACAATTTTCTCTCGCTTTATACAAACAAACGCAATGTATACATTTGTGTTTGTATAAAGTGAGAGAGGCGAGTGAGAGTGGCGAGCGAGATCTGGGAGAGGGGAGATAGGGAACGAAAATATATGTATACATATAATTTTCTCTCGCTTTATACAAACATAAACACATTTTATACATTTGCGTTTGTATAAAAGCAAGAGAGGCGAAGGAGAGACTGCCGAGAGTGGTGAGCGAGATTCACCAGGGAGAGAGGTGAAATAACAACAGTTTGCTACGGGGTACAATTAAATCAAACTATGGTTATGACATTTAATTTAAATTAATAATTTGCTATTATATACAATTTTCCCTACTTCTTATCATATATCTTCTCTTCCACTTACCATATATTTTAGGACTACTTAGTTATTAAATTTCCTAGTACGTACTTCTTACAATATATTTTCCTATTCATCTTACCATATATTTTAGAGAAATTGGGACAACCCAATAGTTTCTTGGCCCAATACCATGAAAAGTTGAATCCCAATTATGTAAGGATGTTTATATAAAGGAAAATTTATACAACTAGGCAAACATAAACTTTATACTTATTCCTTAAAATTCTATTTTAAAAAAGGGTTAATTACTCCAAAAGAACATTCGACAAACTTAATTATAACAAAAAAACTAGTAATTTTCTTCGTCCTTCTTCTTCGCATTTGTCGTCTTCTTCTCTTTTATATCAAAAGACCAGACACATCGAGAGGATTTCATATCTAAATTTTGAGACTGTTTCGAGGTGCTTTTGAGTTGATCAAAATTGAATAGTCAGTGTATACTTCATGTATACTCAATATACACTTCATATATAATTAAGCTATATTCAGTAATTTGAGTATATCATAATGTATAGTCAGTGTATATTTTTCATGACTTTTGACAAACTATATTATATAGTCAATGTATACTTCCTATGACTTTTGGCTAATTTTTTTATGTAAATAAAATGTAGCTATATTTGTTGTAAACTAATTATTTTATTGTATATATATATTTGAAACTATCTAAAATAATTATCTAAGAAAGTCATATCACCAAATTTATGGGCTAACATGCAGGAAAAATGGAAAAAATCACCTAATTCCTGTAAAATGGATCATAAGTGCCCAAAATATGTGCAACAATGGTGAGACTTATAGTAGGGCTCCTCCAACTCCCTACGGAGGGTTTCGTAAAGATTTTGTAAAAAAATCATCCAAAAGTCATATCACCACAATATTCATGGGGTAAAACATACAAAAATTGAGAAAATCGCCTAATTTCTCTAAAATGGCTCATAAATGTCCAAATATGTACAAAAAAAGGTGAGGCGTCATGTATTGCTCCCCGAACTCCCTACTAAGGGTTCCATAAAGACTTTGCAAAAAATCGTCCGGAAGCCATATCACAAAAATATTCATGGGCTAACACACACAACTGAGAAAACCGCCTAATTTCTATAAAACAGATGTTGAATGCGTAAAATATGTGCAAAAAATGGTGAGACTTATATACTGGTTTCTCAACTCCCTAAGTACCTATGGAGGGTTCTGTTAAGGTTTTGCAAAAAAATCGCTTGAAAGTCATATCACCAAAATTATTCATGGGCTAACACACACCAAAAACTGAGAAAATCACCTAATTCCCGTTAAATAGCTCTTTAATGTCCAAAATATGTGTAAAAATGATTAGGCTTCTCGTACTGCTCCCCCACTCCTTACGGGGGATTCCATATAGATTTTTAAAAAAATCGTCCAGAAGCCATATCACCAAACTAATAATAGGCTAACACACACGAAAATTTTAGAAAATCACCTAATTTCTATAAAATGATTCCTAAATATTCAAAGTATGTGCAAAATATGGTGAGACTTTACCGACTGCTCCCCCAACTCCCTATGGATGCCTCCGTAAAGGTTGGCAAAAAAATCGTTTGGAAGCCATATCACCAAAATATTTATGGCCAACATACATGAAAAACATAGAAAATCGCCTAATTCCTGTAAAATAGATCCTAAATGCCCAATATATGTGCAAAAAAAAGTGAGATTTCACATACAACTCCCCCGACTCCCAAAATGGTTTTATGCATGATGCATTGTGTATCAAAATGGTATCATGATGTAATGTATCAGAAAGGTATCATGATACCATCAATTATCTAAGGAATTGTTGTTAGCGTTCCAAATCCTGAAATGTATTATCAAAACTTAAATGGTTAATATAGAGTCCGGAGCCTAAAGGGCAAAAAAATTTGTCAAAAATTCCAAAAGGGCACATCACTTTTTATTCTAACCAAAAGGGCAAAATCGCTGAGTCAGCAGCGATTTTCCTCTGACAAAATGACGAAATCGCTGCCCTAGCAGTGATTTCGTCTAAATTTTATTATTATTATTTTTTAATTAAAAATCACTGCCACAGCAGTGATTTTGTAAAAAGAAAAAAATAATTTTTTTTTTATTAAAAATCACTGCCACAGCAGCGATTTTGTAAATTATTTTTTTAAATTAAAAATCGCTGTTTTTTCTTAAAAAAAACTAAAACGGCACATCAAAAAAAAAAAAAACCAAAAGGGCTTCTGACAAAACAAAAATAAAAATCGCTGCATATTTTCTCAAAAAAGAAAAAACTTTTTTTCTTCAAAATCGCTGCTATAGCGAATTTGGTTAAGAATTTTTTTAAAAAAGTTTTTTTTTGAATTTAATATTCTTTTATTATTATTATTTATGATATATAATTCAATTTTCCTCATGCTTCAACAATTTTATTGAGTATACTGTCGTCTTGTTTATCATTTTTATATTATTAATAAGTAATAATAGGCATGAAAATAATAGCACTCGGCATGAAAAACGCTGCCCCTGCAGCGATGTGTAAGGAAAAAAAAATTTCTGACTTAAAATCGTTGCCACAACATTTTTTTTTATTTTTACAATGGCAGCGATTTTTAATAATAATAATAATAATAAATTAACAAAATCGCTGCTGTGGCAGCGATTTTTAATTTTTTTTACAAAATCGCTACTGTAGCAGCAATTTTGTCAGAGAAAAATCGCTGCTAACGCAGCAGCTATTTTGCCCTTTTGGTTAGAAAAAAAAGTGATGTGCCCTTTTGGAATTTTTGACAATTTTTTTTGCCCTTTAGGCTCCGGACTCGGTTAATATATATAGTTGATACACCGCAACAATATTAACTTTGATACTTCATCCACAACCCCCGGTAAACAAAAAGAAAATGAAGTCAATAGGGTAAATAAAAATTATCAGATTTTGTTTATGAAATTTTTATAGATTATTTTGTTGTCTTGTTTACAACTTCACAACAAATCAATAATGTAAATTTCGTTAATTAATATGATTGGTTACATTATTGCATTGATTGCTCGCATCAATTAAGGACTTGCATATTTAATACTTCCTCCGTCCACAATTGTTTGTCAGGGTAAGGTTATGCACATCCGTCAATGAAAATTTAATACAAGGTATAATTTGACTAATATAACCCTACTATATCAAGAATATCAAAAGTCCACATAACTTTTCAATTGAACTACACAATCATTAAGGGCAGAATTGGAAAAAAGTGACTAATTACTTCTTGATTGTTTAAATTGACAATTAATCTTGGACATCTATTTTTAGTATACCTGCCAAATAATTGTGGACGGAGGGAGTAGCAACAATCTAAAAAAAGAAAAAAAAAGTAATATTATGTAAATGGCAAAAATCTCACTGAACGACATAATATTCACCTATACTTTTATGAAATTTCTCTCATAAAAATAGTTGATATGCTTTTTATCCTTAATGATAGTCTTTCATAGAGTTTGTTTCCTAGTGGGCGAAATGCACATATACTTGATTTTGAAATCACTATTTGAATCATATTAGCAACACGTAAAATTGTCAAGTCTATTAATTCGAAAAACTTTAAAATAAGCGGTGTTTGAAGTTAAGGTTGAATTTCAGACATTATATCTGAAATTACATTTTCTTAAAACGTTCAAATATATTTATCTAAAATTAGGCTTTGTTAAAATTAACTTCGGATGTGACACGCGTCTAAAGTCATTACAAAGTTATGTGATTTTTTTCTTGGTTAATTTCAAGTTCAATATCAGTATTCAAATAAAATTCTTTATTTTTTTGTTTGATTAATAAGTATATATGGTCCAAAGCTAATTCGTAATTCAATATCATATTTTGTGGTGGTAAATGGACAGTTTGAGTTGAGTTTTGGACGAGTTGAAATGATTTGTAAAAAAAAACGAATTGAATTTTAACCCGCCATATGGACTCATTTTGCCAACACCAATCCTATTGTACATATCTCATGTAGTATTTCATTTAGGGAATTTTCGCAAATAGCCACTATAACAACTTAATTAGGTTCCATAACTATAGTTTGCTAATTACGATTCGTAGCTACATGTTAGAGGCAGAGAGACGAGCGAGATTGGGAGAGGGATAAGAGAGGTGAACGATAGATGGCAGAGAGTAGAGAGATGTGAATTATATTTGTATATCTATCATATATATGTAACTGATATACATATGTCTTTGTATATCTTGCGAGTGGGATTGGAAGAGGCATGAGAGAGACGAGCGAGAGAGGGCAAAGAGGGAGAGAGACGAATTGTATTTGTATATCTGTCATATAATTGTATATGTATATGTATAAGAGATGAGAGAAAAACGACAGAGAGGAAGAGAGGAGAGAGGTGCACATAATTATAGCTAAAAAGAGGTTGCGAGCGGTAATTCAAACTATAGCTATAATAGCTAATTAATTAGTATATATTTACTTATCCGCGTAAATTTTCCCCATTCATTTATTTACTTAATTTGACATGTTCTTAATTAGGATATTTTATAACTTGGCCCATTGCTCTATTTGCTTAAGCCCAATTGTTAATCTTTATGTTCCTATTTATCTTTTTTTTGGCAAAAGTTTTATTTCTCTACAGAATTATGTTTTTTTCCCTAAAATACAATTCTTGTGATTTTGTAAATTTGATTCTTTTGATTCTAAGGCGGAATCTTCTAGGTGAGATACTCTATATAAGCTGTAAAGAGTGTTTTTTTTTTTTTTGTTTTTGAGTTTCAGAACCCCTTTTGTTTTTCTGGCATTTTCAGGTTAAATTCATTGGTTTTAGTTATTGGGATTACTTTTTTTGCTTTATGTAAACTTAAAAGTTTTGATTTTTATGTGCTTCTTTGCCTGTTTCTATAGAGTTTGTGTATAAAAAAAAATCATTTTTACTAAATTCTTTATCTTTTTTCTGCTCTGTGTCTTGTGGATCAATTTGGGTTTTTTAGTTTAGTAGTTCTTGATGGGTTTATCTGATTTTTGTTTATAAAGTTTTGATTTTTCTGGCATTTTCAGGTGAAATTCTTTGTTTTTGCTCTTGGGGTTACTTTTTTTTGCTCTATCTAAAGTTTAAAGTTTTGATTTTTATGTGCTTCTTTGCCTGTTTCTATAGAGTTTGTGTTGAAAGAATTCATTTTTACTAAATTCTTGATCTTTTTTCTGCTTTGTGTTATGTGGATCAATTTGGGGTTTTAGGTTTAGTGGTTCTTGTTGGATTTTTTTGTTTGATGGATTAAAGTTTTGATTTTTCTTGTGTTTCCATTGATTTTTGGTGCAGATGGGTTGTTGATTCTGCTGAATTCTTTGTGTGTATGATTGAAGAACCAAAGGAAAGTTGAATCAGGTTAGTGTAACTTGTGGAAGTTTGATTAGTTTATGAATGTTTGTCTTTGTAGTTCGTTGTTGTATTTTGTGTTTGTGAATTAATGATTGTAGAATCAAAATTACATATACAATCAATTTGTGTAGATTCCCTGTGTGAATGATTTTGGATCCTTTTAGGGTTTCCTTTTTTGGGTGAGGGGAGGTGGAGGGTGGTACCAAAGGTGGAACCAGGTTATTTAGTTTATGGGTTCTAATCATAGTTCTCTTTGCTTACCGAGGTCTTACCGGAAACAACCCCTACCTCCTAATGTAGGGGTAAGATTTGCATACACACTACCCTCCCCAAACCCCACTTGTGGGATTATGCTGGTATGTTGTTGTTGTTGGTGGTGGTTCTGGATAGATTATTTATACATGTTGAATAAAATTTTTAGAGGTTGGCAAAGTAGTTGATTCTTATTTTAGAAAGAAAATCTTTGTTCAAGAAATGTATTAATATTTCAAGTTGACATTGTGTAGTTTCCAGTAAGCAACTTTTTTCCACTTTTGGTGGGTTTTATGTTTCTGGAGTTATCCTGCACTTGGAAGAAGTAGGAATTATTGATTCTTCGTCAATCACCTGTTTGAAGAACTTTTAGGAATGATGAATGTTTCTGAATTAAGCTAGTGGGCTAAACAGAAATGTAATTGAATCATGCAGTCATGTGGTGTTTTGCATGGTAGATTATTAATTAGCACTTAATCATGGAGAAGGAAAGAGTTATGTATCATCTGCCCTTGAGCATGGAAATCACGTGGTGTTTTACATGGTAGGTAAGTTATTAGTACTTAAATACGGGGAAGGAAAGAGTTCACGTAGCATCTGCACTTGAACACGGAAAGCACATGGTGTTTAGGATGGTAGATAAGTTATTAGCGCTTAATGGAGAAGGAAAGAGTTTATGCAGCATCTGCATTTGAGCATTGTTTCCATGCTTAAGTGTTCTCCCCCTAAATTACATGTAAAATTAGTTATACATGTCTAATGAGCTGTGAGCGTACACTTGCTTTGTATGATAGTGAAGAATGCACTACTTATCAGGAAAGAATAAAAAATAGTATTTAAAAGAGTGCAATACTGGATGTTTGCTTAAAAGTGTGGATGCTTAAAGATGAAGACCAATAGAAATAGGTTGAAAGGAGTTAAAAATTTGTATAGTAGATTACAAATGTTAGTTGAGGGAGGAGATTTGATGGTGATTATCATACGCACTGCTGTCATCAATGTTTGAAAGAATTTATGATAAACATAGTTGGTCCTCGAGGAAGTTTCTGAAATTAGATTAGTCATTTTAGTCAAATCTAATTATATATGTGTGTGTGTTGGTGTGCATGCACCCTCCTGGTGAGAGCCATTATCAATTAACTTTCAGCAAGTCTTTTGTGTAACCTTGCTCTTGGAACGACATTAACAGAACGAAGAATTTGTGGAATAGTTATTTTTTTGTTTCATCGTAAATTAACTAGTTTTAGATGGTGGTCAACCTTCTACAACACTCCTTTATCTGGATATGTGACCAGCAATTTGAGTAAGCTGACAAAAGCAGGGTTTAATATGATTTAAGATGAGTTGGCTTATGGAAATGAGGTAGAAGAGAGACAAGGATGCTTGGTGGAGTGGAAAGGCTAAACCAATAGCTAAGGCTTTTGAATTTGTTAGGACAAACTCGTGGATGGATAATTCTAACTATTTGACATCAGTTATTAAAAACTGTTAGTTGAGTTGTCACAATCGAAGACATGCTCTTATCTTTGGCAGTATTCTTGTGATAGTTTAAACAATATAACAACTACGACTCAATCCCAACCTAGATTCTTTCACTTATATTTTAATGATTTGAAAATATATGGGATATTGTCGAAGTTTGAATTGCTGCATGTTTTGGATTTTTTTATTAAGGTAACCAGTTGGAATGTGGTGTGGAGTGCAAGCATTTATGGAAGTAGGGGTAAGAGTATGGAATTGTGTACGTGTTCCATCTATACATAGGTCTTTTATTTTTAAATTAACCCTTTTTAGTGTCTTATTTTTTGTGTATGGTATAAGCCATAATGGGGTCATCGGCTGATCATTAAGTCAAGATGGAATAGTTAATGTTTTCAACTTTGTTTTCATGCATTACTAGTATAGGGTCATTCTTTTATATTTGAGAATATTAGAGGCCAGATAAAGTCAAATAAATTAGGTACTTGTGGTCATTTGTAATTGAAACTTTTGGTAGACAATTTATTCCCTTCATCCATTTTTGCTTGTTCAGTATTGACTTGGCACACCGTATAAGGTGCAATACATAGAATGACAATTTACAATATCACCCTTTGAATATAATAAATTTATGTTTTGGAAAATGACTAGTTAATAATAAGCATAAATTAGGAACTAAGTGATAAATTATATCTTGGTTTTCTAAACCGGACAAGTAAAAGTAGACATCTATTCTTAGTACATGGAATTGGGGCCCTTTGTGGTTTTATAACCACACATGGATTAATCACTAATCAAATCATAGGTTTCATCAAAACTCAACTATGAGAAAGCTATGGTGTAAAAACTATCATAGAAAAGTTAAGAGTCATCATGTTCATAGCACAAGATTAAGGGAAGAAGGTTTAGAAGAAACTCAATCTTTTGAATCCTCCTTTAAAAATCTTGAGTTCAATCTTCTTTTCCCACTATATTTTCCCAAAAAACTGCGTCTGGCAGTGTGCGGCCTCCCGTCTGTAACAACATACAAATTTTCTCCTTTTCCCCCCCTTGGAAAACGGTTACTGCTAGTATTTTGGGAGCTGGGAGAGGATTTCTTATGTGGATTATAGCTTGAAAGCGGGGCTTACCTTTTCCACATGGATTTCTCTTCCTTTTTCTACTTCTAGAATGGAGAATGCTATTAAAGCTCATGTGTTTCCATTTTCAGAATAAAGTTAAAGTTTAGATATCTAAGTTTAGAATATGTGTGGACGTGTTTAGTTTGTTGACTATGTTTGGAAGCCTTCTTTGTGAAGGCAGAGTTGGAAGTTCTTCGATCAATGATACTTTGATTTTGGATAGGTTGAGGTATGTAGTTGGGAAGAATGAGTTTGATTATGTTTAAGGGGAATTTCCTACATTGGAGTTTAAGGTAGGAGAGTGCGAGTCCGGTGCAGCATAGTTGGTGGATAAGTGTGTATCAGCTTGAAGGAACTTTTTCTAGTATTTAAAGGACAAAGGGGATAGTGTGCACCATTATTTCTTATTTTATTGAAATTAGTAACAAGTTTTGATCTTGTGTAGTGTCCTGTGAAACTCTTTTTTATCTCTCTCTTGAATACACATTGAAGAAGCTTCTGGTACAAGTTCATAGCTGCAATCATTTGTTGCTCATTTCGATTTGACATGTTCCGGAGAATAGCTCTGTAGATCTTGCATGAATGTTTCACCCTAGGTAAATACCTTCTTCAGATTCTACGTATAGGATTAGCATGTTATCAAAAGCAAAAAGCGCAAAAAGCTCTAAGGTCTGTTGGGGCTTTAAGCGCAAAGCGCAAATAAAGCGTGAGCTTTAATGCAAAAAGGTGCAAAGGGAGAAAAAATACAAATATATATGTTTTAGTCCAAGACTAATAATTTATAAGCATGAATGACAAATATATATACAAAGAAATTGAAAAATAATTACTAAATATCAACTGTTTAGTGTCGTCTCTTCCGAAGAGGTTCATTAGCAAGGAAAATTATGCCTTAGAACCTTGATGACAACACTGAAGTGCACATTAAGCGAGGCGAAGCGCTTGACATGATTTGAGCCTCGCTTCAGGGCTTAAGAGTGCCTTGGATAACACTGGGGATTAGGATCTTGTTGTAGATGTTTATGAGAAACTTCTACAGTAGAAAAGAAATGCTTGAAACCCAATGTTGTCAAAGGCGTGCTTAAGCATTGAAGGCGAGAGTCGGAATTGTGTTGAGCACTTCTCCTCTCTTAATGTGTGCTTTATTAACATCATCAAGGCTCTAAGACATATTTTTCTTTGCCAATAAGTCTCTGCTGAAGAAGCAAACACCAAACAATTTATTTGTTCTTTTTTTCAATTTCTTTGTACGTATGTTTGTCATTCATACTTATGATTGTTAGTCTTGGACTAAACCTATATATATATTTGTATTTTTTCTCCCTTTGCACCTTTTGCGTTAAAGCCAACACTTTATTTGTGCTTAAAGCCTCAACGGACCTTACAGCTTTTTTGCTTTTGACAACACTGTTGAAACCTTGAATTTGGTCATCTTGAATTAAAATCGATCATTCTCTTCCACGGCAGGTGCCATGTATAACTGGAAAACGTAATTGTAATTATACCGTCTTTGTTCATTTGAATTGTGTTTCCATTTATGATACATGTCTTTTAAGTATACGTTCAATTTATAAGGCTCTGAATCATGTCAATTAAAGGATTCCATTTCTCTATTTCAGTTTGTGCGACTCTTCGTTGAAGTGAACATGAATCAAGCACATCGATATGGCGAAGCTCAAGTAAGTTGCACATTTCATACATATTGATTGTACTATTGTTTGTTAAAACTATGCCTTAATCCAAGTTATGCACACAGGATGAAGCTATTGTGACAGGTTTCGAAATACCAAGATCACCTGATGTAAGTTACAACAACGTACATCCTGGAAACGAAGATGATGCACGTGAACCACCAATGGTTCCACCACAGCTGCACACTACCATATTGAACCACCACAGTGTGACTAGGGATCAATCTGCAGAGCTGCCATCACCACAACACGTGGTTCTAAACCATCTCTACCTCGAGGACAGACAAACCCCGGGACCAGTCGTGGCAGTCGGTGTAACATCTCGTTTTCGCTCAAAGTTTGTTACCGTCGTGCTTTACAAACCAGCTGAAAGGAGAGGAGGAAGTACCAACAACGCCTGATTGTTTGTTCTGATGGAAGCAATAGATAGAAAGGTAAATACACAACAATTGATCCGCAGGAAATCGTTTATTTCTTCACAGCTGGTTGTGAAAGTAGATAAAATTAGGACCGCGATCGTCCTTGGACTTGAACAATCAATACTAGATCGCGGTTAGTTTCGAAAACTTTACTATTGTAGTATGGTAAAAAATTAGTCATGTGTCTGCTGTTAGTTTTAACTTTGGGAAAGTTTTATTGTTGTGCATTAGACTCTAGCATATGTTTGATAACCTTATCTTCATCATGTGTGATGATGCCCTTTACAATTATATACTCTTCATCCTAAGGAGGTATCTTTATTCAAATAGTTTGTCAGATTTACTGTTTGGTTTTTCTAGTCGGTATATATAGATTATGCACTAATGATATATAAATTACACACATATATATTATTTATTTGATGGTTATCTATATTTAAGCGGTTAGATGAGCGGCAATTTAGGTTAATTCTCTTAAAAGAAAAAAATAGAATGCTACACTTCAGATTTGAATATCAAACAACTTCAACCAAAAAGAGGTATGCCTGAGTTGTAAGGAATTTGGATTATTTAAGTATTTTTCGTGTGTACTAGTTCATGATTTTTTTAGAATATGACAGACTAACTCTATTTGATCCTAGGGTAACTATGAGTATCCTTTACTAGGTCGTCACGAATGAATCCATAAAATTTGAGCTCAAACAAAATTGGTCAACACATATTTTGGAAAATTCATGAATTGATACACACAAAAAGTCGTGATAGTCCTGAATTTGTTTTGTGACCCCTAACCTCCAAAAAAGGCAACATTTGCCTTTGAAAAAACTATGAATATCATTTACTAGGTCGTCATGAATGAATTCATAAAATTTGAGCTCAAATAGAGCTGATTACATATATTTTGAAAATTTCATAGATTAATACACATAAAAAGTTTGAAATAATTCTTCATATTTCATAGCGTAGTAAATTTATTAGTATTAAGATTATGACATCATATTCTATGTTATTGTGACATTTAATATAAGTTAAATATGCCAGACGTAACTCTTCTTTTTATTCGATTCTTAATATAAGAAAATACTTTCTATTGAAATTAACCTCTGATTAAGATGAAGGAATCGCATAAGTCTTCATATCCCTCCATCGTTGTGCAGGCCTAACTTGATTGCCAATATAATATTCCTTTTGACTTTAAGAAACTTTTTTAAAAGTTTAATTAATAAAATAAAGTAATTAATATGGATTATTCTTAATCAGCAGTCTTTATTTTAATTTCTGAAAATTGAAAAGATATTATTGAGAGCATCACTCTAAAAAATGAGCCTTGCAATGTGCAAATTTAAATGTAATTGAACTTTAATAAAAATATCTAAGTGAGAAAATAATAAAAATATAAAATGAAGTACGGTATCTATACGGATAGTTATCGATTACAAGTCAACAAATACTTTCATTTATTTTATTTATATATGAGGCGTTTGGCTCCTTTAAATAAACTCTATTATTATAATAATAATAATAATAAGAAAAAAAACAATAAGTTTATATTTGCTAAGGACTTTTCCAAGATAAATATCCTTAAAACGAGAATTTCTATTTTATTAAATCTCGTTTTCTAGGCTTATGAGAAAAAGAAAGAAGAAGATATTCACATACTTATATTGATTTTTTGTATGGTCAGTACTCAACTTAATAGTTATTAGTTATTATCAAATAAAATAAACCTTCATCTTGATTTTAACTTTTTTTAATAAAGAACGTGACTTTCTAAGATAATAGTACTATTAGTTGAATGATCGTTTGAAAAATTAACTTAATAAATAATTAAAAAAAACATTTAGTGAACGTGTGTTTGGTAGAAGCGCAATATTTTCCTGAAAAAATAAGTAATTATTTTTCCAGATGATATAAGTTAGTAAAAAAATAATATTTAGCTTTGCTACATATCCCATATCAAAATATAATGATAATATATAAATATTAATATTTACACCTAGAGCCGTCAATAAAATTAAATTCTTATTAATTAATTCTCAAATTAATTTCCCAAATATGAAAAGCCAAGGTCAAAGGTATGTCGAATGTACTTTGTTTGGCTCCGTACATTGATCTCATTTTTTCTAATTGTCAACTCAATTAAATAAAGTAAAGTTCAATCATGGATTGTTAATTAATTAATTTGGGAATTAATTCTATGTACCCATCTGATTAATGAGATTCATTATAATCATTCACCATTCAAGATGTGTTTGGTACCAAAGAGAATATTTTTATTTTTTTTTATATTTAATTGATCATATTTTGAAACATTAGATTTCATCTCACAGTGTTTGAATAAATTATATTAAAATATACTTATGAAATAGTATTTTTTGTGTACTTAATTTGATTAACTCTTTATTTATAAAATAAATAAGAAAATTATTTTCGAAAAAATATTTTCTATTACCTAACACACCCTAGAATGATAACCTCCAAAGATGAAGCCAATGTCAAAGGAATGACTAAGGCAGTACAATGCACAAAATATTTCTCGTATTTCTATATGGTTCAAGGAGGGGACAACACTCCTAAAGTTTTGATGGAAATAATCTATCACAATGTAATAAATATAAATATGAAAAATTACTTGGATGAGTATCTTTTAATAAATAATTACTGATTTTAGCGATATTTTTTATTTATTATCATTTATAGCAATACTATATTAAATCTGCAATATATATTAAAAGTGAATTATGTATGCAATATATATGTATTATAACTGTTTTTTTAAAAATATATTATGTTTGTTTGGTAAGAAATTGACACATTGTATTATAAGTGTATTAAAATGTATTATATGTGAATAATAAAGTATTCTTTGTAATATGTATTAAAATTGAATTAAAAGTGATCAAGTGAAAAAAAATAATTATTGCTATAAATGGTAAATATTTTTTTAATATGGTATATTTATGTAAGTTTCCCTAAAATAAATATTAGTGATTACATTAACAACTTAAATTTGTAAGTTAGATGAAAATTATTTTATTATTATTTTCACGGTTCGAAAGTGTGATCAATATAGAGTCAAAGGAGTAGGAATGATTATTGTGCTTATCTTGGCTCTTGATAAACTTGTAATTTGCCTTATACAGTGTACTTACTATTGTACCTTATCTTAAACCAAATAGAAATGACCTTAATTTTAATGATTGCAACATGAGCTCAATATTGACCAGGTAAACAACAACTAACTAATAAAGTTTATATCATCGATTATTATTGGGAAATTCTTTAAACCAAAAAATAAAAATAGAAATGATAAGTCAGACTAATGATAACTAATTAGAATTGTGTACCATCTTCATTATGTAATCATGCATCTAACTCTTACTTTTGAATATTGTACCTTTTATTATATTTTCATGTTCGGATCAATTTACACATACTGTGATTAATTTGATGAGGTATCTATTACCTTCTATCAGCAACAAATATCAAGTAACTCATTCACCAAAACTATGACAGATGCAAAAAATCTAGTATTTTTTGTTGTATTTGTTATCATTAGCATGAAAATAAACTAGAAAAAGTTTGAAGAAAGACGGATTCAGAATTTTAACTTTGTGTGTTCGGTATTTTACTAATCATATAGTTCATTTGATTTCCTCAATTTAGAAAATATTATTATTTTTCAATATAAAACATGTGAATCGAAACTACTGAGTTCTATTGAAGGGTTGTATGTTCAAACACTTTTAATCAACCCAAACATTTATTTGTGTAAAATTGGAGAAAGTGTTTTCCTGCGTACCGAACACATTCTAACTCAACAATAATAACTATTAGCTGAGTAATCATCTGATAAATTAACTCGATATTTAGTAATGATGAACCTTTGGGATATACGATAAGTACAAACACTATTCATAATCAGATGCGGCAAAATGTATTCTACTAATTAAAATAAACAAATTTTCTATACTAATTGTGACCATTCATAATCTCCATTGGTTACTTTTAACACCTATATAAACACATCTAAACTTGTCACAACTTATTAAACACATCAAACAAATCCTTAATTACTCACTAAACTTCCTTAATTACCATTTTAATCACTTTTTTTTTTGCCTAAAATGGGTGATATTGAAGGATCACCAGGAAGTTCAATGCATGGTGTTACTGGTAGAGAACCAGTTCTTGCATTTTCAGTAGCTTCACCAATTGTACCAACTGATACAACAGCCAATTTTAAAGTCCCTGTTGATTCTGAACACAAGGCTAAAGTTTTTAAATTTTATTCGTTTTCGAAACCTCATGGCCTAACGTTTCAACTCTCATGGATTTCATTTTTTACTTGTTTCGTATCAACTTTTGGTGCTGCCCCTTTAGTCCCTATTATTAGGGACAATCTTAATTTAACTAAAATGGATGTTGGTAATGCTGGAGTTGCCTCTGTTTCGGGTAGTATCTTGTCTAGGCTCGCGATGGGCGCGATATGTGACATGTTAGGTCCTAGATATGGTTGCGCGTTTCTCATAATGTTATCAGCCCCAACTGTTTTTTGTATGTCTTTTGTGTCATCGGCTGGAGGGTACGTTGCTGTGAGGTTTATGATTGGGTTTTCACTAGCAACGTTTGTGTCATGTCAGTATTGGATGAGTACGATGTTTAATAGTCAAATTATTGGACTTGTTAATGGGACAGCTGCTGGATGGGGGAATATGGGTGGTGGTGCTACTCAACTTATTATGCCTTTGCTCTACGATATAATACGTAGAGCAGGGTCAACCCCGTTTACTGCTTGGAGAATTGCATTTTTTATTCCTGGATCACTTCATGTTATTATGGGAATTTTAGTGTTAACTCTTGGACAAGATTTACCTGATGGTAACCTCGCTTCTTTACAGAAGCAAGGCAATGTTTCTAAAGATAAATTCTCAAAGGTCAGTGACATCGTCATATCAAAATTCAAAAATATGGTTAACATTTACATTGAGCTAACATTTGTTATCTGCATTTTTTCATAGATATTATGGTATGCTGCAACAAATTACAGGACATGGATCTTTGTTCTGCTTTATGGATACTCGATGGGAGTTGAATTGACTACAGATAACGTGATTGCAGAGTATTTCTTCGATAGGTTTGATTTGTTTCCCTATACTTAACGTTATACGAACATCAATAGTACGAATATTGAATCAATTTTTCTGAATTTTTTTGGTGTAGATTTGATTTGAAGCTTCACACAGCTGGAATCATCGCTGCAACGTTTGGTATGGCTAACTTATTAGCGCGACCATTTGGAGGATGGTCATCAGATTTTGCAGCAAAACATTTTGGAATGAG